ATGTTCTTGCTCAGATCAGTCTTTGTAGCCCTGTATCTTCTCATAAACAGTGGCCACAAACAGATGCAAATAGAAAATAAAAAGGAAAATACATCAACATTTCCCCTGCATACACTCCCAATTTCCAACATCTTTTCAGATCCGAGTGTGTCCTGCAGTCCATGGGCTTCTTTAATTTTCAAAGGCCTTCTCTTTGAAATACTTGTCTGATTTCCCTTTGAAATTTTATGAACTTGCAGCATTGTTAACATTATTTGTTAAGGAGTTCACAGGTCCATTATCAGGGTGAAAAACCCTGGCTGATTCTGACAGAGGCTGCATATACTGGCACATCATTCTCATGCTGGAATAACTGATGAACGACTGAGGTGCATCTGCATATATTTATGGTTTTTTAGACCTCTCAGCTTAATCTCTTTTCAATTCATTGAATCCTAACCCCTCCCATACTGTCTCACAGAGCCTTTTCACGTAATTATTTTGAGTGTGTTTCTCTGAACATTTTCCATTTCTGTTTTAGCATGAGTTTTGTTTTGGTGGTTTTTGTTCGGGTTTGTGAGGGATGGAGCATGTATGGGGTGTAAGGAAGGGATTAGTTTAAGTTTTTTCTTTTTTTTTCCTTAAATAAGGGCACCAGAATTCACTTAGTTTGAGATGTGGGCAAACCACAGATATATACTGCATAATTCGCCATAGCATAATTCACAGTAGCGTCTGGCCTTGGAGTAAGTTTTTGACCCACGCTGAGAACTGAGCTGCAGTTTTCACAGAGCAGGCTGTCATCAGAACTACACCCGGTTTAGTCCCCAACCTTCTCTGCTTTTCCCCGCCTCTACTTCTGTGTTGGGGTGTTGTGAGCACCCTGGCACCCCCACAGAATGAGGACCAGCCAGGCGCAATGGGAACAACCAGGCTGTTCCTGGAGCACAGGGAGAACGGAGGCAGGGAAAGGACTGGAACCTGAGGGTTGCGGGGCCTCAGTGGCCCTGCCTTGCATGTGTCCATGCAGAACAGCACGTGCCCCTGAACAGGGGGGCTGTGGGTGTCCAAGGGGGGAAAAATAACTAGGCAAGGAGACACAGGAGGGAACAGGAACTAGGGAAGACTTTGTGTCGGGACAAGTGGAGCACCCAGGTGCTGTGAGCATATCCCTAAGCTGGTGCTGCTGCTGCAGGCTGTGAACCTGCAGTGTCTGAAGCAAAGTATGTGAGTGGGACATAGCCACTGCTTTGGGATGTGACATGCACTTACAAGGAGTTCTGCTTGTTTGTATCAGCTAAAATACAGCCCAGCGTACACACATAAGAAATGGGTGAAGAACTGATAAACACTTAAGGACCTGACTCCTTCTGTGTTTTTAAGACATGGTCGACTGCATTTTCTCTGGTTTTTTTTTTTTTAAAGCAGATTTATTGCTGTTCTCCTGCAATGAGAGCCATGTAACAAGGCTGCGCCTGCAGAAGGCAGCGCTGCAGTTTCAGTACTGCTGGAGAAATGAAGCACAACACATTTCTAACATGCCTTGTGTGCCTTTTAATCAGAAAGGGCTTCTGTGCAGTGAAACGATGCCACTAGTTCTTGTCTAATACTGAGTCGACTGTCCCTGGAACTAGTGATATAAATAAAACCAATTCACCGTAGTAAAACCATGCCAGTGTGGGTGTGACCCCTTGAGGTAATAGTCCTTCCCATATGCTATAGTACAACTCATACTGTAGCTGCAGAGTGTTTCAGCTAAACTGGTTGGTTCTATGACAGCATTGTGCTAGAATAGATCCCCTACTGCCTGCCAGCATGAAGTACGGTCAGGGCACATTCACTTCTGTACGGAATTTACCATTTAAACAAGTGCTATACCAGTGTCTCAATTTTTATGCCAGTGCAATTTGCATCACCTTAAGTGTGTATCATCTGAACTGCTGATTATGTGTACTCATGTTGGATTGGATTATGCTGTATGAGCACTATCTTGTTGATTCATTATATTATTATGCTCTTTCTCTGAAGTTCAGCTTTTAGTAACTGCAGAATTTCATGAGTTTGAAGTAGGCTTAGATTCCCTGCTTTTAACAGAACAAGTTGTTTATTTTTATAGCTTTTTTTATTGTAGGATCTTTTTTTCCTTGAGGTTATTTTTGGTAGGACTCCTATTTTGGTGCAGGAAGGCAGACTTCTCCTTCAACATACATAGCATCCAACTGGAGAAAGTGATGGACCAGACTAGAGCTGCTTCATCTTGATGCTTCAGCTGTGCAGTCAACTTACATGTGCACCTGCATGATACAGGCTTGGTGTAAAGGAGCATTAAGAATTCCAGCTATGCTGCATAGCTCCTTCATCCTTGCAAGTATTGTGCTATTTCACAAGGTGTTATCTTCAAATATGAAATAGCATTTATACCCAGAAAGATGAAGGGTGTTTGGGGAGACTGGCAGATTTATAAGAAATACAGACTCACCCATAAGAATCTAAGAGAGGTCTTGGCAACATTTACCCTACATCTGCACTAATATACTGAGTGCTCCATCACATTTATTTTTTTAAAGTCTTCACAGATATTTTGTTTTCAGAAATAAACAACTTTCCAGAAGCAGACTGGTAGAAACCTTAGTAAAACAAGACATGAGAGATGTCTGAATACAGAAAAAGAGAGACAATATACTTCAATTTTGCTCTGCAAATATCGGTTATAGAAAAATGTAGCTGAATCTTTCCAGCTTTCTGATGTTGAAGAAAACCAGTAAAGAAAAAATGAATTTTTTACTTTGCTTGAAACAGGTCAATAACTAGTTTGCCTTCAATATTCTCGAAAGTAACCTGAAGACTTTTAAATTACATCTGACTTCCCCTTAAACGTCTGGAGCTGAGGATTTTTAAAGAATTATGGCAGCGTGGCTCCTTTTTATCCTCCCAGCTGTCCATTCGAAAGGGAATACAATATAGATCCAAAGGCTATATCTGTGCTAGTATCCCCCAATGTTGGAGAAATTGCTAGGTACTTTGAAGAAGTTATTGCCTTTTATTTTTTTTTTAATCACAGGAAAACCTTTGCATTTAGTGGAATAGTTTCTGAAGTATATAAATAACAATAGGTAATATGATATATACACCTACTTCGAAATTTTTCTTATAGCATTCAGTTCTTTAACAATTTCTTCTGTGCATATAGTAGATTGATGAAAACAAGAGAGGTAGCTAGAGACCAAAACTTTGCTAAACTCAAATTTTTAAACCTCCTCCTTCAGAAAATCTTTTAAATTTTTTGTTGTTGGTTTTACTCTCTTTTTCCTTTGACATTATTGCAGAAATTATGTACACAAATGTTTTCAGAATGTATGAGTTTTATATTGCTCCAGCAATTATGCCGTATTGCAGAGTAGTTATGCTAATGCTGTATTACTTTTGCATGCAAATAGTTGAAATGAGAGCACTGAAATGCAGCTACTTAAAACTAGATCTCCACAACTAGTTTTTCACTACACAAGGGGTCTTCCTTTTTTCATGTAAATGATTCTGCTTCTCTCGTATTTGCCTACCTCTATTTACTTGTCTGTGTGCCTGTGATTATGGTGTGAGTGCGTAACATGTCTGCATTTGTGCATTTTTATCTGCACATGGAGGCTTTTTTATGAGATTGTAAGGATTTACAGAAGCAGAAGCAAGTAATATGTAATATAAATGTAGATTCTTTACTTTTTTGGTGCAAATTCCACATACTACTTGAAAAATACATAATTTATGTAAAAGTTATAAAGCAAGGAGATTCATCAGATATATGCTTGATACAGAAAAGTTACCAAATATGCAGTACCTTGAAGAAAGATTTTGAGTATAGTAAAAAAAATTCAAGAAGTTAACTTCCAGAAAGAATGTCTTAGCCTCTACAAAGTCCTAATATGCAAAAGACTTGATATAAATATTCTGTTGTAAAATATTATATAATACACTATTACCTTATCATAATACTGTGGATTATATAACAGCTGTATTATAAAATTTTGTAATATTATATGCATGGCACTGGTCTTACAATAATAAAACCTGCTTCCACATTCCCTGTCTTTTCTTTGAAGTTCAGTCATTTACCACTACTGTTTTCAATTCATTACTTTCAGTGAAGTAAAAGCACTCCAGTTTTATTTACAACACTGGACAAGGTTAACAACAGACTTGAAGACAAAAATAAAACAGAAAAAATACAGAACAGGCAAATATCTGGTATCACTCTCTTTAGTTATCAGTTAGGCTTTTCATAAGGTAATCCTAAGCTGTGGGAACCAAACAACCACTTTAACATTGTTCTACTCTTATAATTGCTTTTCAGGTTGTGACTGGGTACAAAGGAATCTAATTTAGGAAAACGCATTGTATTTTGAGTTTGATTAGTTCAGGGTGCTTTAGGAAAAGGAAATGAATCATCATCTAGGCTTGTCAAAGACTTAATTTTTTTCAATATGTTTTGTTTGGGTTTTTTTTCAGTTCCGGGTAGTGGGCTTGCAAGCTTTTGGAATTCAGGAAAAAAGAAAAAGGGCAGGGGGAGGGTATATCAACCTCTAAAACTTGAATAGTTTCACATATACTAGTATTGAACACCTAAGAATCTACAATGTGTCAATAAGTGGCAAAAAAATCAAGACTAGAGGGGATTTTTTCTTGATCATATTTTTGGTACCCTTTGCATTATCTTCTCTCATTAATCAAAAAGTTACCTAATAACATATCCAAATATGTACCTACATAGGAGTAGGCCTTTATTTAAACCAATGAATTTGAGAAGAGGCTGTTAGTGTTCCACCACCCCACTTGTACCCAGTCTGGTTGCATCATGGCTAGGCTTCGCGAAAGAAGATTTGGGAAGTGCTCTACCCACACTTGTTACAAGCGCACCGGGGGCTGAAAAGGCCAATACGAGATAGACAAGTTTGGTTGCAAAAGGCACAGCAGAAGGACTCCTTATGTGGTATATTCTGCAAGACACAATTCTTTCTGCATTGTCTTTTCTCCTCAAGAGTGATCCTGCTTGTGTTCTCAAAAGCATCAGCAGTGTTATAGATAGTGTGTCTCCAGACCTCCCGATTGGAGGCCAGAGTAGACCAGTTGTGTTGATCAGTATGGCCAAGACTGAGATGTTGTTTCAGGGAGTCCTTGAATCTTCTCTTTGGGGCTCATCTCTTACAGCAGCCAGTGGCAAGTTCACCATAAAGCATAATCTTAGGGAGGCAGTAGTCCTTCATCCTGGAGACATGTCCTGCTCAATGCAGTTGTGTTCTCAGCAACATGACCTTGATACTTGTGACTGCTGCTTGTTCTAGAACAGATGTATTAGTCACATAATCTGATCAGTGGATGTTTAGGATTGTACAGAGACAGCGTTGATGGAAGCGTTCTAGGAGTCGCAGGTGGTGGTAGTAGATGACCCATGATTCGGAACCATATAAGAGGGTAGACAGCACAATGGCTTTGTAACACTGATCTTTGTACTTCTCTTCAAGTGTTTATTTTGCCAAACTCTTTTATGGAGTCTTCTGAAAGCTCTATGTGCCTTTGCTAACGTATTGTCTATCTCTCCATCAATCTTACCATCCGAGGAGATGAGGCTGCCTAGGTAATTAAACTGCTGGACTGATTTGAACTCTGACTTGCCAATGGTGATATGGGGATGATGGAAGACTTCCTGAGGTGCAGGTTGATGGAGAACTTCTGTCTTCTTTAAGTTGACTTCCAGCCCAAAAAAGCTCAGCAGCATCCGCAAAGTAGGATGTTAAACGTTGCAGAGCTGCTTCTGTGTGGGTGACAAGGGCGGCGTCACCAGCATAAAGCAGCTCCCGGACAAGATGATTTAAGGTCTTAGTGTGGACCTTCAGTAGCCTTAGGTTGAATAGGCTTCCATCAGTACGATATCAAATGTAGATTCCATCTTAAACATCGAGGTCTGCCACAGCCCTTTGGAGCATCATGCTGAAAAAGATTGTGAATAGGGTTGCTGCAAGAACGCAGCCTTGTTTCACACCATTCTTTATTAGAAAGGGCTTGGAAAGTGTGTTGCCATATCTGACTTGACCACGCTGATCCTCATGAAGTGAGATGGTTATTTTAAGGAACTTGGGAGGACAACCTAAATGTTCCAAAATCTGCCATAGACCTTTTCTGCTCACCATATTGAAAGCCTTGGTGAGGTCGACAAAGGTTACATAGAGACCTTTATTCTGTTCCTTACACTTCTCTTGCAGTTGTCTGAGAACAAATACCATGTCTGTGGTGCTCCTGTTGGCTCTGAAACCACATTGGCTTTCAGGTAGAATTCCTTCTGCTATAGCGGGTATTAGTCTGTTCAGGAGTATTCTTGCCAGGATTTTGCCAGCAATGGAGAGCAGAGTAATACCACAGTAATTTGAACAGTCTAATTTAACTCCTTTCTTCTTATACAAGGTGATGATGACTGCGTCACGAAGGTCTGATGGTAGTTCGCCTAGTTCCCAACAGTGCACCACAAACTCGTGAAATATAGCTTGGAGTGCTTGTCCCCCGTGTTTCCAGACTTCAGGTGGAATTCCATCAACCCCAGCTGCCTTGCCGATTGCTGTATGGCCTTGAGGGTTTCTCCTAAAGTGGGGGCAATATCCAATTCGTTCTTCACCGGTTGTTGTGTGATGGACTGAATTGCTGAGTCTTGAACTACTCGGCTAGTACTGAAAAGAGTCTGAAAAGTGTTCAGACCAACGACTCAGAATGGAGGTTTTATCTGTCAGAAGCATTTAACCATCTGCACTGAGTAGAGGGCTTTGTACCTGGTATGTAGGCCCATATGCTGTTTTCAAGGCCTCATAGAATCCTCTGTGATCACCTGTATCTGTACACAATTGAGTTTTTTCAGCTAGATTGATCCACCACTTTTTCTGGATGTCACGGAGCTGGAGCTTGCTGCATGCAAGATGAAAAGCTGCTTTTCTTACATGACAGGATAGCAGTGCAAGGTGTGCTTGGTGAGCAGACCTCTTCTTCCTCAACAATTCCTGGATCTCTTGATTGTTTTCATCAAACCAGTCCTTGTTCTTCTTGAAGGAGAACCCTAAGGATTCTTCAGAGGACTGCAGGATGCTGTTTTTAATATGGTGCCAGAGTGCTTCAGGAGAGGGATACATAGAATCTATAGAATGATTTTCGAACCTAGTTTGAAGATTTGCCTGGAATCTGTCTCTCACTGTGGCTGATTGGAGATTGCTAATTTGGAGTCTTCTCCTTGGGATACTGCTCCTTTTAGGTTTGAACTTAAGACTGAAGTTAAGTTTGCAGTGCAGGAGTCGATGGTCTGTTTGGTATTCTGCACTAGGCATCTGGTTGCAGCACTTAGCAAAATAAACACGTGAGTTACAGAGTGATCTATTATTTATAAGCAATATTTTGCATTTTTTTATTAAGAACTTGTTATATCATAGTTTAAAATGTAGGACTCCTCCTGCCAGGCAAGTGATCTAGCTACCCAAAGCCATTGTCACTATTCTTTTCTTTGTCCCAAGCAATACCTAATTATCTTATAAAATAAACCAGCAGCAATGAGGTCATACACCATCTCCCATGGCAACTGTTAGGTTAGTGGCTAAGGCATTACTGTGGGGCAGGTAAAACAGTGTTTCAAATATTTTCTTGCGAAGGAGAGAAATTAACTACATTCAAGGTGACTGCACACGTACTGTTCGATGAAACTATGCCAGTATCTCCTCCTCCTTTGGCTGTCCTTTGATAGGAAAGACTAATCCTTCAATATTTTTTAAAATGTGCCCAACCCTGGGTTATTATTTAGAGCTGTGACTCACAAGTGAAGGGCAACCAGCATAAAGGATCTAACTGTTCATGAAAGGCAAAAGGTTTAAAAGCCCTGTCATGGATGCTTTGTGTTACCTTGGGTAGTTCTTTCTCTACACATCAGCTTTTGAAAATTGCATTCCTTCTTCTCTGCATTTTATATAAGGAACTGGGAAAGAAGCTGTTACTTACATTGTGTCTGAAATCATATCACTAGAGTATATAAACTGAGATTACTTGGGGAATTAACTTATTCATATAAATTTTGTGATTTATAGATGTGGGTAATACCAATACCTTTAGCAAGAATACATTAAAAGCCATAGCTTGCCTTCCCTTCAGGGTCTGAAACCTTTAATGGATTTAACCCATGGAAATTTAGTAAATTTTACTTTTTCCTCTGGCTTTTATGGTTGTCCTTTCTGCACAGGAAGTGGAAACAAAGATATGTATCCTGTGAGAAATATTGAGCCAGTGCATGGATGTGTGGGAATGGGATTAAGAAATCTAAGGCATGGTTGGTGTTGAATTTAGTAAGGGATACTAAGAATAATAAGGCTTTTACAGATACACAGACTAAGAAAGACATGGACCTGTTAAAGTGGTTCCAGAGGAGATCCATAAAAGTCATCAGAGGGCTGGAACGCCTCTCCTCTAAACAGAATCTAGGAGACTTGGACTTGTATAACCTGGAGAAGAGAAGGCTCCAGGGAGACCTTTCAGTACTTAAAGGGGTCGTATAAGAAAGACAGACGCTATTTATCAACAGCATGTCAGGACAAGGGACAAGAGTTTTTAACTGAAAAAGTGTAGATTTAGATTGCAAGTAAGGAAGACATTTTTTCCAGTGAATGTAGTGAGACTCTGAGAGAGGATGTTCAAAGAAATTGTGGATGTCCCATCACTGGAAGCATTCAAAGCCAGGTTGGACAGGGCTTTGAGCAACCTGATCTAGAGAATTATGTCCCTGCCTATGGCAGGGGGTTTGGAGAAGTTGATCTTCAAAGGACCCTTCCAACCTAAACCATCCTTTGAGTTTGTGATTTTGGTTGTAGGATCCTAAACTACAATCAAAAGAAGTTTTCTACAATAATATAATTCCTGTAAACATCAGAAAAATGACTGTATTCTCATTTACAGCAAATTTATTCTTGGCAGCAATTGTTATTCATGCATTCCCACTGCATTGCTGTAGTCTTCTCTAATTTTGTTGATACATATAGTGTTATGTGGGCATCAAAGGGAGAAAAATAATGGTGAGAAATCTCTATTCCCACAGAACAGGCACAGTGTTAGTCTAAGCCTTTCCCAGTTATGGTCCATCTTTGTGATAATTTGATATTTGATATTTGGGTTGTAAGTTCTCATACTGCAACCTGTTCTGTCCTATGCAGATGGGGGTGTGCTCACAGAAGGTTACAGCAACACTCCACTGAAGGAGAGGGAAACTACAGTTCCTTCCCTGGCCTTGGTCCTGAAATGCAGAGAGGGTAATTAAGAAGGCTGTAGTTGTTTAATATCTAAAATGAATTCCTCCCTCAGAAGATTCCCAACTGTTTGCCTGCAAGAGTAGCAACTGAGTTAGGCATGCCACCTCTATGTCATTCCAATGCAAAAAGGATTTTCAGCTGCCCTCCCTGGGTCTTTTGGGCTGTTGGACTATGAAAAGTTTATCAGTGTAGTCAGGAAACAAAATGGTAGATTTACACAATAGAGCAATGACAGCAGTGTTTCAAAGAGTACAAAATCTTGCCTATAAAAGAAATGGAAATTGTAATAATTTTTGATAAATTGGAATTTGACTAGTTCACTATGATCTCAGGTCTCTAGGTCTTGTTTGTATTTCTGTGTATGTACTGTAAGTAATGAAATCCCATTTCACAATACATCCACAGTAATAATAGGAGCTTCTATATCATATTCAGCTTGTGAGTTTTCATTTGTTTCTTTTACCTTTCATGATTTAAGACTAAAATATGTTATAATGGGGCAATGGCAGCAATAAATACTGTTCAAAATGCTGTCCAGAGATGTGATAAAAGTACAGAAAAAGGAATTGGAAACTCCAAATTTTTGTTCTTCACCTCTCTTTTTAGATAAGAAACTTCTCTCTGTTTCTCCCATGTTACCACCTGGGGAGGATGACTCTTACAAGCCTCTCCAGGTTGTTGTCAGCATTAATTATAATGTTTGCAAAGTACTTTGAAGATAAAAAGTGCTAGGTAAGTGCTAAGTAGTATTTTTATTCCTCTCAAGTCAGAGTAATGTCAAAGAGAATGTCAGCTTCAAAGACTTTGCTGTCAGATCTAGAGTGCTCACAGGATG